TAATGATAAATTTCATTTAGGCCCCCTTAAAGTTTTGTTTTGCAAAAATATTTTCCCAAGAGCTTCCCAAGGGCGAGTAGAATATTATTTTCTTTGTTACCTTAACACACAGTTCTTACACATTCTAATTTTTTGAGGCAAAATTAAAATGAAAACTGGTTTATGTAAATTCACAGATGTGGTTTTTACATTTTAAACTATGACTATTTCATTTTAATAATTTAGGAAACAGCGCTCTAGAATTTGGATGTCTTATGATTTCAGGAACGTGGTATCCTTAAAGATGTTAATGTGTATCATTTCAAATAGTTTAAAAATTGATACTTATGGGGCTAGGGTTGTGGCTCAGCAGTAGAGCRTTTGCCTAGCACATGCAAGGCCCTGGGTTTGATCCTCAGAACCACATAAAAATAAATAAAATAAAGGTATTGTGTCCAACTAAAACTAAAATAGATACCTGGTTAAAATCCAAAACACTGGGCTTGGAATACAGCTCAGTAGTACAGTGCTTGCCTAGCATGCATCAGGCCTTGGGTTCAACCCCCAGTACTGCTAAAGGAAAAAAAAAAAAGTACCAAAATACTGATAACATCAAATGCTGCTGAGGATGTGGAGCAATTGGAACTCTCATTCATTGGTAGAAACACAAAATGGTACAGCAACTTCTGAAGACAGTTTTTCAGTTTCTTACAAAAGTAAATAAACTCTCAGCATACCATCCAGCAATCACACCACAGGTATTTGCCGAAGTGAGTTGAAATAGAGTTCCACAAAAAATGTTCACAGCATTACCTACAAATATTATGTACCAATAAAAATATGAAAAAAGTGCATGCAGATGTTTGTGTAGCAGCTTTATTCATAAGTTGGAACAACCAAGATGCCTTTCACTAGGCAAATGGATAGCCAAACAATGGTACATCCCAACAAGGGAATGTGATTTGGCAGTAAAAAAGAAATAAGCCATCAAGTCACATACACAMAAAAAAATGCACATTGCTAAGTGAAAGAAGCCAGTCGGAAAAGATTACATTCTGTATAGTTTCAACAACCTGACATTCTAGAAAAGGCAATGCTACATAAAGATA